CGGAGAGCGGGAAAACGCCGCCTGGACCGCGCGGAGCGGAGTGCCCGGGGCCGGCAGCCTCGCGGCCCGCGTCTCCAGAGCCTCGGCTGCCAGAGATCCCGAGGAACTCGGAGGTTCGCACTACAGGCGCAAAGGAAGAAAGGCCCCTGTGGGGGTTTTTTTGCTGGTTTTTGAATTCCCGCTGTATAATGAAGACAACAAACCTCGGCGTCTCCTCCACGGCTGGGAGAGGAGCTCAGGGCGGGCCTGGGGTCATTTCTAAGGATGGCGGCTTCTGCGACAGCTCATCTTCACAAACTCCAGACGAGGATCAATCACACTCTTCTGATAGAGGCTGCTTTGTTCAAAGCAAAACTAAGATAAAAGACAAAAAAAACAACAAACCCGCACTGTTAATCCCAAAGCGCAGAGCTAGTCCACGTTGGTCTTTACTGCTCACTCACACACCACGAGATGCGTGAACCCGCAAAACACACCGACCCACAAAACCGTAGGTGAACCCTCCTCCCAGCCACGGAACAGTTAGAGATCAACAGGAGAAGGATCTGCGCGACAGGAGCACCAAGTCACATCACCACCTTTACACGCACGTGTTGAGTTTTAGAAGTGGAAAAAATTATCAGTGCCTATTGTTTTGTGAGAGTAACTGTAAAAAAGACAGAGCCCACACTCAGTTGTGACCTACTAAGTACCTCTAAATCCACATCACAATTGGATTAAATTAACCGTAATGAGAATTACGTACACTGCCTCACCCTTCCACTAATAATAGAAGGCAGGTAAAATGCCATACAAACTCCTAGTTTAAACCAGAAATAGGCAAGATAGCAAGGAATTGCTGTGGACAGACCTAGACTGCACATGAGGAAATCAACAGCAACCCTAGGACGAGCAGTTTGTATTATCTCAGCATCCTGGCAGAGCAGACAGAGGCTGACGGGCCATGTGCAGGGAAATGGGGTATTTACTGCCCTGGTTTTACCTTCGGTGCAGAAAGCAGAACAGTCACGGCAAGAGCGTTTTCACCACAAAACACTGCAATTCAGGAACAAATGGTTCACCTCACAATCCTGCCTTGGAATGCTCCAAAGATGATATATCATGTGTTATCAACCTTATCTGGACCACCCTGCCCGCACTTTCATCTCTGGTGTCTTCAGTCTGTTTTCCCAAGATCAGCTTCACTATTAGTTTCTTGCCAGTTACCACAACCATCTGGAACTCATTTCTCTCTTTAGAATCTCGTTTTGCTGTCGAAGGATGTAACCAGATACTGACATGTGCAGAATCTTTCTGCTCGGAATTTTTTTGCCTCACCTGCGTGAATTATCCTCCTAACAACTCACCTTTTCCAAATCAAAGCAAATACACATGAATCCATTGCACAACTGACACCGCAAGAAGCCATCACTCTTCCTTCACTGAATACAGCCACTTCTGTGAGCTGACTGTGCAACACTGCACAACAGTTGGGAAATAAAACTACCCAGAGTAATTTATGGCTCATATGTCTACCTGAAGGACACGCTCAGCTTTCATAAAAACAGAATTAGTGTAACAAATTCCCTCACACAAGAAACTGGAGGTCCTCCCACAGAGGGTCTGCTGCTACTGCTGTGCTGTGTGGCCTGTGGCACCTCATATCCCTGACAGAGCCATTAGCTACGAAAGACTTGCTACGCACTACCTAGAGTCAGAAAAGAGCAAAACTGCTTAACAGAGGCTAAACAATTAAAAGGCTCCAGAGAGGAACGTTCTTGGTGTCTCTCAGTACATCTGAGAAATGTCTCAAGCAGGAGCTTCTTGTGCTAGTGACTTGAGTGTTACTCTGGGGTCTTTATGTGGTCCTTCCGTCAAGTTAATGCCGATGGGTTTGACCTGAACTGCTAACATGGCCAGTATGTCAGCAATGGCACACATGCAGAAATGCTACAAATATCTTTTTGAATGTACTGATTCATGCATTTGTCACAACAGGGTTTGGACTTGAGCAGCCTGGGAAACGGCAGCAGTGTAAAGTTCTCAAAGCCTTCCACAGCCAGAGGTGAGACTCTCCTGCCTGCACCACTGCCAGAACACACATATTGTCAGTCCTGGGGGTTGTAGCAGGTTACAGGGGACTATCCTTTCGGAAAAAAAAAAAATAAAAAAAAAATCATTTGTTTTCTGTGACCACTGTTAACTGCTAGCACATCCAAGTGGTCTATCAGGACTTAAAGCTAACTTAGGGTCACTCAAAACCCAAGCTAACGAAGCCCATGTAGGTCAAGACATCCAACTTCCTTATAATAATCAAAATACCTTGATCCAGTGTCTACCTGTGAGGATATCAGTATTTAACTTTTCCAACGTTCATGGTCACAATTTTGTAAGATTTTGCCAGCACAAACGGCAGACCATTTCTGTGCTGGACCCTTGGGCATACAAAAGCCAGTCTGAGTATTAACCAGCTTAGTCCAATTAAAGAACCCTAATGCAACTCTGTTAAGCCCCTGATTTGTTAGGCTTGACTACATTTCCAAAGAAGGAGCACAATTGTGTGGATTTATCTGAAGCATAAGCTCCAAGTCCTTAGTCATCCTTGCTAAAGCCTTCCCCAAACCAGCCATGGTTTGTGTTACCTCCGCCTCGCTACAGTCCAATGTCAGTATAATCTGCTCTTTAACATAGTATTAAAACTAGAGCCAAAGGACACAGCTGCTTTCGTTGGTGTAACACTTATTACAAGAGACTTAAGGACAGCGTAACAGCAAGGCTTCTATTCTCAGGAGTAGGCAGGCAACTGGGCAAGCCGGAAAAGCATGCCATGAAAATGGGGCAGCACTAGGCAAACTGGATTAAGAGAAAAGGGATAGAGTAGCTCTGGGGTACTCAGCAGAACCCTTCTGCCCTCTTATTCTATCCTTTTTTGGATACTTTTCACAAAACAATCCTCTACATTTTTTTACAAACAGTTCAGAATGAACTGTGCAGCAAAGTACCTAAGCAAGAGTACCATCCAAAGAACAGTGCACACTTGCCTGAGTTTCACAGTCTTGCCTCACACAGGGTTTAAAATAATCCTAATGTGACAGATTGGACACTAGAGCGTGTGTGATATGATGGCCAACATCACAGACAGAAGCTGGTAACAATAAAGGCATTCCTCTCTCCTGTCATATGCACGTGTTGTCGCTGCCTACAGAGCCTCACCTTCCCTCCTTACAGTTCTGGAACCTCACTACTGAATACAAATCTATTTTTCTGAACTGAACAATGAAAGCGAACAGCGGCAAAATCTGCTTTTTTTTTTTTCCCCTAGTTTCATCCTCTGAAGGTTATTAGGCACAACCATAAACAAAGGAGTCCATATTAATAGTGGCTATGGACTTGGAACTTGGGGAGTTGAGCTCGTAAAGAAACAAACTTCCAGTTCTACTCAAAACCAGGGTGCAAGGCATGACTGCTTCAGTATTCTCTTCTGCTCTCTGCCACTGCTGAAAAGGGACAGGTATGGTTTTTTTAAAAGTCCAGGGTTTGGAATTTCAAGCCTACAGACTCACAGGTCAATTCTGTAAACAGAAAAGGCCAAATACAGTTTGGTGAAATAATGCTTGAGGGCTCTCTGGGGTCCAATGTCTAACTTGAAATTTGTTCTTTCCTGTAAAACCCGAAGTTACTGCCCTTGCCCTGCAGTGTCACTGCTTTTCCATGCAGCCACTAGATGCCCCTTGTGCACTGCACCAATTCCAGCAAAGGCCACTGTGAAAACAGGAGCGTCGAAAAGAAATTCAGGTATCCCCAGCACTGCCAAACCAACACAACCAGACACATGCTGAAACACTGTAGGACGGTGCCAAACGGCACCGAACACCAAGACCTACTGCAACATCCACACATCCACAGAGACAAGGAGGCGTTCTGTCAGTCAAAACCTGTCAAAAAAAAAAAAAAAAAAAAAAAAAAAAAAAAAAAAAAAATCACACAAAATTTCCCATCTCAAGGCATCCTAATTGCACTTCCTAGACACAATAAATCTGGTTTCCTACCATTGCTAATCAGAACTGCTGTCAAGGAAATCATGCTGCCTAATAAGAGTATTGAGCATACGACACTGGTCAGTTGTAGGTAATGGCAACGAAACAATTGCCACAACAAGAAAAGGCAGAAAGGTTGCTATTCCTTGCAATGCAGTACCTCGATAGAGCAGTGTAACGGGGGGTCAGAGTTCTGACCCACTGTCACATTCCTGGAGCACAATAAACACGCTCAGATAAAACTGTAGCGTTGAGGAAGAGGGCTGGCAGTCCAGTAGGACAATGGCAGAATGAACATCTATTTATGAGTCTTTCATAGGAAATATCTATGTGGGTTAAGACTGAACGTAGCATACGTATCCCATGTGTTATGTTTGGGGTCTAACTCTGCCCAGATCAACCCCCCAAGCCTGGCCATCAGGCGCCATCCTGTGGCAACGGGCTCTCCATCCTGTGACACACCAGAGACTGGTCTCAAACGCCAGATTTATGTCAGTCATACAGCTACAAGCTGTGCACAACACCTCGGAAATCCTGCCTTAACCGAGAAACTGCGACACCACCGGGTCCTCCTGAAAGAATACCATTTCTACAGAGAAATGACATCTTAAGCAGAACTTTTTCTAATCAGCATCACCAGCAATTTCTCAGAAGACTCCTGTATTGATCTGCAGCATATGGGAAGTCCAGGGTTAGGATTTGAGAGGACAAAATCGAAGCAGATCGAAGATCACCTCTTCTGCCTTGCAATATTGGCTGCTTGTGCAGAGATCTTCATTACACGCCTCATCCCAAAAAAGAACAAACTGTAAGAACCATAACCAGGATATCCATTACAGGCAGAGTACCTACAGCTTCCTCAGCAACCTGTAAG